TTCAAAACGATTTAAAATATTTTGCGTATTGAAAGGCTCAAAAGTAGGTTTTGAATTTGAAGGTAAAAGAGTATTAAACTTATTTTTGAGCTGTGGATCTTCAATTTAATCTACAATTTTTTTAATAAGTTCTTGTTTAGTAAGAACATTTATAGTTTTACAATCACAAAGCTCTTTACTTTGATTGGAAGAAGAAGAGTAGTTTGAACTTGATTCAACATCAAAATCTTCTTGATGTTGATAAACATGTTCTAAATCAGAAATATTTTCTTCATTAGAAGTGGAATCAGAATCAATAAGATCGAGGAGTTCAAGTTTAATATCTTCATTAATTTGAAGATTATTAATCTTGCTTTTGAGGAGACACTTATTTGAACAATGCCCTGATTTTCTGCATTTCCAACAAGTAACATTATTCTTTTTTGAAAATTTCCATTTTTGAAATTTATTTTTAAAATAATTTTTTGAATAAGAAGGTTTTGAAAATTCTTTGAATAAATTTTTCGTTTTGGAAATTTTTTTTCTTTTTGATTTTGAGGGAGGGATTATTTTCTCAAGTCCATATTGTTCACAAAAAGATCCTAGTTCTTTTCGACTGTCTAATCTTTCTGATTGCAACTTAGATTTGAGTTTAATTTCATTACAGAGAGCTAATCCTTCTGTATTAATGAAACTACTTAATTCTCCATATGTAAGAATATCATATGGAATATTATTCTCATATTCCCTTTTTATTGAATTTTTAACTCTTTATGAAAATAATTTTGGAAGTCCTAATAAAAATATTTCTTTCCATTAAGCTAGATTACAATCTTTTCGTAAAAATACATATGTTTAAAACATATTTTTGTACCAGCGAAAATTCTGTAAATTTTAACAATTTAAAGCCCTTAAAATATTTGAATTTTTTTTCTAAAATATCTGTTGGAGAACCAACAAAATGTTTAATAATACTAAAATCTAAAGTATTAAAACTATCATTTGAGCCATAAGGTTTTATAGCTTGCCAAATTTGAATTTCTTCTTAATTAGTAATATAATTGAACCACCAATTATTAATTTGTCTTGCAAAATCTTGAATAATATTATTTGTTGCATCAATAGCAAAATGATCTTCTTGAATATAGGCATTAAAGCATGCACCCATTCTTTCAAGAGTTTGAAAATTTTAATATTTAGTTAAACCGTCAATATTATATATATTAAATTTCAAAATTTATAAAATTACAAAATAAAAACATAATTCATGTGGTAGCAGGAATTAAAATAATTAATTACTGTCAAAATTGATATATGAATTATAGATAATTGGAGAAGCAGCCACGTCTTAATGTTCAACAATTAATTTTTGTTGAGTTTGCAAAACACTTATAACTTTTGATTATTCGACAATTAGGCCATCTCCAATATTGCACCAAAATTTGAGGTAAGTTTTGCACTATTTTACATCAAATTTTACATCAAACCAAAAATCATCTCTAATCATTACACCAAAACTTGCACCAAATGAATAGTGTTTAATCATTTTTTTCTATTTTTTTATGCTCAATAATTTATTTATTTGAAAAATTATTTCTTTATTTATTTTACAAACACATAAATTACTAAATAAATAATTACGTTAAATCAACGAAAATATTAAATTCCTTAATAAATATAAAAAAATATATTTTTTTCATTGTTAAAATATATTTTATTATTATTAATCATAATAAGAACTATAATAATAAAAATTCATTGTGTTAAAAATAAATAATATAAATGACACAAATGCCCTCTACCAATTAGTTTGACAAATAGAAGAAAATGGTAAATTTGACTTTGCACCATTTTGGTGCAAACTTTTGGTGTCACATTGGAGAGGTTTTACAATAAAATTTGGTGTATTTTGGTAAAGTAAGAGTAAAACAATACATTTAAAATGTTTGGAAACCAAAAAAGGTTTGGGATATACCATTGATGGTAGCTTAAATTTACAAAGAAATTTCATCTCGTGTCAACCAAATTCGTAATTTTGTATCGAATGGGTAAACGTTTTCGTTGATCGAATCGTTAAATTGAAAGGTTCTAGTAAATATTAAAATAATATTAGAAATAGAGGCATGTTAGATTTTTCTTTACGACATGTTATCGACTGTAACTAACATCGAACAATAAAATTACAGTGGCAACTACTTTATAAAGATCAAGAGTTACATTACATCATATTTTCAAACATAAACAATCGAAAAGTAGGTTTTAATCAAGTTTTAATTTTTATTAGTTTATGTTTGGTAAATTTTTAAAATATTTGTAAATGGATCAAATTTCGTTTTCGATCACATATTCTAATGGACCATGATTACTACATATTATTCACTATTTTTTAAAAATCTATTTATAAATTCTTCCAAAACAAAGGCTTAGTATTGGAGTCATCTACCCCAAAGTCTTCACCAATATCATTGCATGAATTCTCTCTATTTACTAAATCATTCATCTTCTTCTGGTGTAAACGATTTCTTCGCTTGAGTGGACTTACAACTCATAAAGTTATGTAAAACTGGAAAATATTTAATGTCAGGAATAATAATGAATCGAAAGTCATTTTACTTTATCATTTCTAATGATCTTGATGTGATCTAGGAGCCGTAAGCAACCAAATCAAGTCTAACGTCAAGTCCGGGAAAAGATTCGTTGAAAGTCAAAGATGGACCTATGACACGAGCGAGGACAAAGCGAGTGAAAGAGGCGATAAGATTACTCGTCAAGACAACCATCGATGAAATCATGTTCGGGACTCAAAATGGGACAAGTTTCGTGTTCGGGTCGACAGCCGAAACCAATTGGATCAACAAGATACAAGCAGCTGAATATAGAGCTGGAACTGGAGAGAAGTACCACGTGACCGCATGGTTAAAATAGTCTTGCGTTCGCACGGAGTGAGGTAGGGAATTATTCGGGATTTTAAAAATGTTTCATGCCACCGCATGGTTAAAACTTGACTCGTTTTTTTATTTTTTCTCGAATTTCCTATTTTTGATTGAATTTGATACTTAGTAGATTTCTTACCATATTTGAAATATTAGGCACGTTTTAACATAGTTTTTTAGACCTATTATAAATACTATTTTATTTTCAATTGTAAGAACCTTTTGACATTTTTCGTAATTTGAGAAGCTATATTGCTTTCAACTCTTGTTCTACAATTGAACAATTCAAGAACTTATCAAGATTTAATCTTGTGGAGTTCAAATCAACCGGGTGAGATTTCGTATTTTTGTGTAATCAAGAGGTCCGCACATCGTTGGCGATTCGAGTTGCTTGGTTACAGATCTATTGAATTTAATCCAAAACCTTGTTTTGACTTTCTTGAGAAGATTTCAATCTTGTTCGTGGGTTCCGTAGCATTTGTCTACACGGGTTCAGATCAAATCTCCAAAACCTTTCTCATCTGGAAGAGCTACAACTCGAACTCGAACTTAGGTTTTGCAGTCTCATTTGTGATTCTCCCCTTGATCTAAACTACAATTTTATCAACCTCATCAGTCACCTTTCTCATAGTCTAACGCTACTAGTCATTAGTATAGCGGTACATTACCATCTTGACGTATCTCTAATGATTAAATAACATTATTCTTTCTTGTTTGTATCATATTAAGTTAGTTTGCCTTCACGTAACTATTAAACATATTGTACTGTCAAGATGACGTCCGACATGGTATTAAATGCTATTGATCAGAATATATATACATGTGAATAAATTAAAACATTGATGCTTATCGTCGTTATCGATCTCGGTCCTCGGAGTAGAATTTCAATACAGGGAGAAAGGAGGTTAATTTTTTCATTTTTTCCTTCCAATTTTCTATGTTCAAGTAGGGTAACTTTTTTTTTTTTTTTTTTTTTTTTTTTTTTTTTTTTTTTTTAAAGTAGGGTAACTTAATAGAACCAAAAATATAAAATATATTTGGAATTACTCCCCCAATTTCACACAAAGGAGTTGAGAAATTCTAAATTATTGAAAAATTCTTGTACTTGTTGACAAATTTCCCCGAGCAATAATCCTATGCATATTATAAATTCACTTTTGAATTTTATTCCCAATTCCTTCTCTCAATCCACCTGTAACCCATAAATGTACTTAAATTTGTTAAATATGAAATTGTATAATTAAAGTGTTCAGGGGAAATATCACATTTTTTATTTAACTAAAGATATTCACGCCATATTATTAACATTATATTAATATATTAAGCCACTGTTTGATAGATATTATAATCAATTTTTTTAGTAAGTTTTGATAAAAATTGATATAATGTAATTAAAAAGTTGTGAATCTACGCCGTTTGACCCCCATTGTCCTTCTCATTCTTTCTCTATTTTATTTTCAACCACACAATCTTCAATAAATTAATATTACACGTGAATAAAAAAAATTTCATTATTTTTCAATCACACATTTTTCAAAAAAACATTATTCTAACTATTGAAATTTGGAAAGAATGAGAGCCAAATGAGGTAAATGACAAAAAATAATTTTTGACTTTAATTTAGCCCTTTTTTGAGCCCCATTTTGAGGAAGAGAATGAATTTTTTTATAGTGTATTAATGAACAACGTGTGATTAAAAAATAAGAAAAAATTTTAGATTTACGTATAATATTATTTTATTGAAGAATGCATAGTTGAAATAATATCAAAACACTGTAAAAGAACTTATTTTTTCCCAAAGAATGGGAATCAAACAGGGGCTTAGATTTCAGTATTGCTATGCATCAAATTACTGACCGCACATTTATACCACGCCGGACTACTACAGTATTAAGCGACTGCAATTAACATTATTCTTTAGATTTTAATCAAATTTTTTAGTGGTACCAAACAGGAGCTAAATAAAAGTAACTTGACTCTTTTCCCCTTCTCTTGTAATCTAATTTCTACTTAGAGAACTCTTCTAAGCTGCTATTTGTCGCTCTCTTTGTGAATAATAAAATTAGAAAAGATGGGTGGAAACTGGAAAGGAAGAAAACCTTGCCCAAGCATTTTAAAATATAAACTAGCCATCACCAGCAAGTATCCTTAGCCAACTGATGTTCGTTACAAGGTACGAATGATCTCAGTAATCACTAGCATGTTTCGATGCACAAAGAATTTGGTACTTCTAATTATGCACATGTTTCTAGACTCACTGGTCTTTCTTTTTAAGACGATATGGATATTTTTGGTATATCGATATGCTAGTGATTACGAGTGGAAATGCCACAAGACAGTACGGAGAAGGTGGTTTCCCGTCAAAGACGAACTGTAGCAAAGCAGTGACAAGTAGTGCAGACACAATGACAAATCCCTACATAAATATAGAAGGAAAACGAATAAGAGCAAAACGATATAGAGTGCAACAATCATTTTCACACATGTACGTGGCTACTGAACAGTTCAAAGTTCATAAAATGTGTTATTTCATCTCTTTGTTTTTCTTTTCTACGCACTTCGACAACTTGGAACAGCTCGAATATAAATCACTCTGTGGTTGGATCACTAACAAAGCTTAATCAGTTAGCGCATGTCTAAATTCATCGATAGGATTTTAGCTTCTTTTTCTTTCTTAATACTTTCCAATGTTGGCCACTCTATACAACCAAACATGCCCCATATAACTAAGTAACTTCATACTTTTGTATTTTACGTAGAACAAGTTGCGATGGAGCTTTAGCCATACATCTCCACACCCTTCCGTATCCAGATAATTCATTGGTTTCACCTAAGGCTAATCACATCGTACAGACAGCTACTTAACAGGAAAATTGTAGTATCATGATGCTGTGGGTGCTTGTTACAAATGGGAATTCTTACAACTTTATTCGAGGATTTAACTTTTTACCAATCAATATATGACGTGCATGGTGCAAGTAAAGCCCGTTGGTCTTTAATCTTTATTGGGTTTCATATATTGCTACAAAATTCTATACATTTTATGTGATGTTATTAAGACGTACCTTTCGGACACCACCAGCATAAGATGTCACAAGACCAACAAGAATTCCACCAACAGCATTTAGTGAAACTGGGATCTGAAACAAAAAAATGTAGTATCCAAAATTAAGAAATTACGTTCAATAGCTTATAATCAGTTGGTCACATACATGATCCTTTGGAGGAATGATCTAGGGCAAAATTATTACTTTGACATGAAACTTTTCTAGTATAAATCAAAATTTGATGGTATCATATTATGATAAATGCACCTTTGATTTTAAAAGATCAGTCGTCATCGACAATTTTTCAGCTCAAATAAAATAAGCATGAAAAAAATGAAACCAAGAGAACTTAGAAGCTTAACGGCATTTCTTTTCCTGCAAAGTTGCAAGTTCAAATAATTTGAAAACCTCTATATTGTCCTAGGTTATTCAATGTCGACTATTACCAATGTCAGGGGAGTCCAGCCGTCAAAGAATCCACGTTGTCTAATAGCTGTTCCGTCTGGAGACTTGTAAGCACTATTTTGCAGTGCATATATAGCAGCTGGGAGTCCTGACGCAGTTAGAGAGCCAATCAAAGTCCACTCCTTGTATAGCCTCTTCAAAGTACCATCTTTTGCCATAAGAATAGAGGCACAAACAACCTATTATGTATATTAAATAGCTTTGTTAGCTAACATTCACATGAATCACAAATTAAAAACGGTGGAAAAGAAAGTGAAGGAAAATAGTTACCTTTACCACCTCACATGCCAAAACAGATGAAGTCACGATCACTTCTCTCCTGCAGTCAGAATAAAATATGAAGTTGTGGCATAGTAACTTATAACCAGTTCTGTGCAGACACAAATTAATAAACAATTTTCTACTGGTGTGAACGAAAAGATTTTCTCTTAAGCAATATAGATGATCAATTCAATAGGGGAAGCAGTGGATTGGACACTTTCTCAAATTAGGGGACCCTACTTCTCAAACCATATTGGGAGCCTTATATCCTATCTATAAAATCAGATCAAGTTATTTTTCTTACGAGGGCACACATGTACCTAAATCCGCTAATTAATCCTTCAAGTTTTGTAGTTCATAACTAGGCGAAAAAATAAAATTACTTGAGAGAAAATGTGGTACAATTTTCTTTAATAAGAATATTAGGAGAAAACATGAATTCTATATAAGTCTTTAAATATCTTCACGAAGTTCAAGTTAATTAAAGAGTAACACTACTACCACATTAACATTTTCATATAAGAACTCAACTTATGACCATGTTAAAACAAAGTAGGGCATTGGAAACCTAAGTCCAATTTTCAAACATAATGAGTATCATAAGCAATTGTAGCCAGATTACAATATCCTAATATGCTACCCGTTAGGTTCAAGTTCAGGTTCAGGTTCAGGCAGATCCCCATGGAAAATTCATCCCATTTCGATCCTCCGCGATACAGTGAGAACTACTAGTGTGTACATATACAATCCTGATTTTACGGGGATGCAAGTGAAAAGTAAAAACCAAATATTCATGGTTGTGTTTGCTGATACAATTTTTATGTTGTACAATCATGTCAACTAACATACTGTGCCACAGCTGATGCGAAGTTTGACATTGGCAATTAATCTCTTCCACGTAAATAACAGCTTAGATAAAAAGTATCAATACACTTCTTTTTCTAGGTGGAAAACTTCCTGGACTGGTTGAATAAAAAACTCTCAACTTGCGCATAAGGTGCGAGTTTTCAGTACATGTTTCAAGTGTCCAATGTGATCAATCAGTCAAATCATACTGTAAGGCATACGATATGGTATGATGTCAAAATATTTTCTTTTTCTAAGTCTCAATTTTCCATGCAACTAACAGTTCAGAAAGTACTCAACTGAAGCTAGAAGTTGCATTGCCCATACAGAGTATACTGTAATGTGAGATGCTTGAAACCAATAGCCACAACTTGAGAAAATATAAATCTTAATTATGTTCTACTCTCCCATGTTTAGAAACATTTAATAGTGAATAGATACATTGATTTTGAAACTCAGAATAGATCATTTCAGAATTTCAATTTCAAGCCCCATTTCAACGCCAGCAAACATGTTGTCGCGTTATTATCATAAGAAGCAACTAAAAGAAAGAAAAAACAAAAGAATTCCCGTTTCTTCAACTATTACTAGAACTTATTTCATTACAAAGTAATCAACTTTTCCAATTCAAAAGATTTTCTTAATATTACTAATATCTGTGAATTTGATGAGAATGTAAATACTAATTAAATTAACATGAAATCGCGGTCCTAAAAATGCTCGTAATTCAGATCAAGGCATTCCGCTGGCAACAGTGGAGAACAAATTACAGACTAGTACAATTAAGCATTCATTCATGAGAGGAACACAATAAATTGTGTTGATCACGGTTTTACAATAACATAATAATAATTATCAGATACACAGAAGTAATAGAAGCAAAAAATTATAACCTGGTGAAGCGTTTGGAGATGAGAGGTTGAGCTCCGTACTGAATAGTGAGTAATAAAGAGAAGAGCCAGACCTTTGTGCTCGTGCTTGAATTCGGGCTGATCGGTCTGAGCTTGGTCGCTTCCATTGTTGGGCGACCTTGGTTTGAGCGGTATAGAAAAGGAGGAGGATTAAGACCGTGTTTGGTTCGTTTGTGATCAGAAATGGAAAATTTTCTAGAAAGTGGCTGGGGATGAACGATAATATTTTTGGGTAAAATTACAAAAAAGGTCCCAAACTTATTTGAAATATCGTCAACCTCTAATGGTAGTTAATTGGTCCAAGTGGGCGTTAAAATGTAACGTGAACCTCGGGTGACTCACTTCGTGCTTCAAATTGCAGGGTAAAATATTATATTGGTCTATAAAGAATGGTCAATTCTAAGTTAGTGATGGAATTTCGATAATAGTCAACCTCGTGAGCGACTTTATACTTTTCGCAATGGTACCTTGGTCTATATAAAGAAAAGGTATTAACTCGACATGGACGAGATTGCTGCCGTCCTCCCATTCTTGTACTGTCAAAAATTTTCAAGAGGTAGGACGAAAGCGTGGGGCATAATAGGGTGGGAAATATAATATATATTTTTTATTTATCTTCTGTTAATTATTTATTCTTTTTAATATTACTATATATATGATTTAAACACGATCCATATCCATTTTCAAAGAAGAGGGCTAAATTCGGGATGAACAATATTCTATATGATGTATTGAGTACATTTTAATCATGTTGTTGGACTTCGAAGTGAACCATACTTTACTATGAGTCACACTTTAAGTTATGTTTTATATTTAGGATTAATAGAATAATACCTCATCTATTATACAAATTTTCAAAAACCCTATCGTCAGCCTTCGTTCATCCTGGTGTTAATTTCTAATAAAAAGGGGGGAAATGGAAAAATTAAAAGGGCAACCCCCACCTATTAGACATGGTGTGTAAAGTCCCCCACACATTAAAGTTTGCAGAAAGGGTCATATCATCTATTTTCCGGATAAAAAGATTGAAAATGATGAATATGTCATCATATTCAAATAAATCAAAAGGAAAAGAAAAGAAAAGAATTAATTGCAATTATAGTCTCAAATATTTATTTGTACCATCCACAATTCCAAAACTTTAAAATATTATTTTCTTCCCTATCCCGTCCCACCTCACCCTACCCTACGCTACCCTCAAAACTTCATCTTCTTCCCATAAAAACTTCAAATTTAAACTTATAGAGGAAGCGCACTGAAAAGCTTGAGGAAGCTGTAATCAACGTCTGAACAATTGTCCAATAAATTGACAATAATATTTCTAGGCAATCATCATTTTCAGTTGAAATTTTAGAGAGCGAGAAAAAGGAGTGCCCCCAAAGAGAAGAAGAAAGAGAAACCATCTTCTTCTCTCTCTAAATTGATATATGTTGCCCCCCAGGGCACATCTCCAAGTAGTAAAAGGGGAGGGTGGAGAAATTCAACTTTGCTTGAAACTGGCGTGTTAAAGGTTCGAATCCTGAAATATGGATTTGGCTCTTGGATAAGTACAAGTGTACAAGCAGCCTTCCACCCTATACCCTTGGAGGCATAACCTGCAATTTACCTCTCTCACGATACTCCAGGGCAGAGGCGGTGGAAGACCCTTGAGGTTGGTGTTCAACCTTTTAAATTGATATATGTTTATATATCTCTACATGTATTTATGTATATATAAGTATATTCATGTCATCACTCGTATGATAAATGCCAACAACATTTGAAATTCCTGAATCCCAGATTAAAAGTAAATAGATTACTTTGATTGATTTGAAGTAATGGATGCAAAAGTTGCTTCTTTGAATCATGAGAATGTTGTTAAAGGTGTAATGGAAGGGAAGGAGGTGAAATTCAGCAAATTTCTGTTGACGTTTTGTGAGGTGACAATGGCGTGTGATATCTTATTGAGATTTGTTTTAGTGTTGATGGGTATCTACCTAACATTATCCAAATATCTTATGACAACTTTTTCAAGCTTTTCCACTGCACTTCCTCTTTAATTTTAAAATTGAAGTTTTTAGGAGTGGGGGGTGGGGAAGAAGATGAAGTTTTGAGGGAGAGTTGGGTGGGGGAAAATAAAATTTTAAAGTTTTGGGATTATGGGCGGTACAAATATAAGTTTTAGGACTATGATTACAATCAATTCTTTATTTTTCTTTTTCTTTTTCTTCTTCTCTTTTTTTTTCTTTCTTTTTTTTTAAATAGAAGGGCATATTTGCATTTTCAATCTTTTCATTTAAAAAATAGACGTTAGGGACCTTTTTCCACCAATTTTAATAGGTGGGGGGAGGGGGGTTTACGCATCATATGTAATAATAAGTGGGGTTTTGCCCTTTTAATTTTTCCCATTTCTCCAATTTTATTGGAATTTAACAATAGGATGGATGGAAGTTGAACGATAGGGGTATTTTTGCACAAAAATGTTTCAAATAGGGACGTTTTGTATAGTTTTCAAAAGATAGGGATTTTTGACAATTTGAGTAATAGATAAGGAGTATTGTGCTATTAAGTGTTATATTTAATATACGCCAATCTTTTCATTTTGGTTTCATGTAGCCTTTAGCACCTTATTACATTGCCCTAGCCGAACTCGAACCTCTTTAGTAGGGATGGAAGTAGGGAGGGTAATGGCATGGGACGGGTCAGACATTACCAGCTTCGTCTCGTTGGGTATTTCTATTAATTTACCCTATCTCCATATGTGATTAAAACGATACAGGATGGGTTCAGGAGCAGGGTAGAACATGTCCCATGCCTTATTTATCGCACCCCCTTTTTTTTTGCTTTTATTTTTTGTTATCTTTAAATTTATGTTTTATTAAAAAATGATGATAAATTTTTTTGTTTTGTTTGATAAAAAATTTAAATTTGAAATTAATTTTAAACTAGATGGATGGCAAGAAGGGGACTATATTTTTCGTATCCATCCCGGCCCCTACACGTTTCGAGGCAATGACTCCTATCTCATAAATCCTATTATGCGAGTAATTTCCATCCCATTCGGGGTGGGTCAGTAAGTATCGGATTGAATAAGTTTTTTTTTTGTAATCCCTGCTCTTCAAGTATGCATTTCTCCTACCTTTTCTTTAAGTGAATTGGTGCCTTTTGGTTTAGCAGAAAGAAATCACTACAAGGCTATCGTCTACATTAGGGCTGGGCAAATTTTCCGAACCGAACCGAACCGAACCGGTTCTTGTCAAATTAAATACCCAAACGAGTATCTAAATTGAGAATCGACGGGTACGATTAGGTTCTCGGTTCTAGACCAAGAACCGAATAAGAACCGAATCTTTCTATTTTTTTTATATTGAGTAAATCAAATTATTTTAATTTTAATTTTTTCTAAACAAATTAACAAATTAACGATTTATAAATCCAAATTTTTGGCCCAATAATTTGTTTCATTTCTAATTTTTTAATTTTTGGCCCAACCCATTTTATTGTTTCATTTCTTAGCCAAGTAAGAACAAATCCACTAAATAACCCTAAACACCAACACTAAAGTACATAACGGTATCTCGACTCTCGCAGCCTCGCTAATATTCCAAAGCCTATACAATCATCGGCCGACACTGTGACCTCCGATCGAAACTGTGACCTTCGCCAACCGAAACTTTGATCGTAGCGATCATTTGAATAAGGTAGTTTACTAATCTCTGACATTTCAAAACCATTGAATGTATCATTAGTTGTATTTTATATAATATTGTTATAAATGTTAAAAAATTTAAGTATAGTACAGAATCGAACGGAATCGAACCCGAACGGTTCCATAATTATATTTGGACCCGACGGTTCCATTTACTATATACCCGAAAAGTTCGGACCGAACCGAATCGACCCGCGACCACCCTTAGTCTGCATGCTCAACTAAGTTTCTAAGCAGGGTAGTATTCAAATAAAGCTCCCGTTTGATTTCTATTCTTATAAGAATGAGAATGAAAAGTATAGTCGTTATGAAACCCACAAAAAAAAAAGAGGAAGTCAAATATGGTGATTTAATGTGATGGATAACAGTCATATATTTTTTTTTTTGACCAAAAAATGGGAAACAAATGGGGCAAAACACATATAACCCTTGTTTGGTGTAAATTAAAAGATAATAAAATTTTTAAATTAATATCTCAATAATTAATTTTAATTATATATTATATAAGATTCATAAATTTTCAATCAACCATTTATTTACTTTTATAAAAATGTAAAAATCTATTTTAAGCCCCCGTTTGGTTCCCATTAAATTGCATTACATTACATTTTATTTTTCTCTTTCCTATTTTCAACCATACAATCTTTCATAAAATAATATTACACATAAATCGAAAAGTTTTTTCCTTTTTCAATCACTCATTTTTCAAAAAAATACTATTCCATCCATTTTCATTACCAAGAAATGGAGGCCAAACAGGGGCTAAATCTGCGGACATTACGAAGAAGCGGCATAGAGTACTCATGTTTGGTTATAGAGATAAGACTGATCCACTTTAATTCCTTCCTTTTCCTCAATTCGTTAACCAAATCGAATTAGGGCATCTTCCCTTCTCTATCGGCACTCTCTCGAAGTTCAGTCCCTCACTTTCTACTGCTACCGCACCCAGTGAGCTTCTTTCTTTCTTCTATTTGCACACACTATAGAACTTGTAAATAATCATCTTAGGTGTATGTAGATCAGTGTTATATTTTTGGCAATTACTGTAATAATTGGATCTCACCATTTGGTTCTTTGTTGCTTATCTGAACATCATTTCTCAAGATCGAGAGTTATTCTTTATGGTGGTTTTAATGACAGTCAGATTTCTTTCAAAAAATCTAAAAAATCCATTATTGAGTTATTGCTCAACATAGCAATGTCTGATTTGGTTATTTAAGTAATGATGCTTTGACCAAAATGTCTAGAGTGTTGTTGTTATCATAAATTCTGGTTTATTTTTTTGTGAATCATCTGATCACTTGCAGATGCTGAATATGGAATTTTTTTTTTCTCTTTTCTTTTCTTTTTATGCGGTTACCAAAAAATAAAAAAATAAAAGAGCTACAAACTTGGATATCTTCTTTAAGTTTTTCTGTAAAAACTTAATGTTTCATCCAGATATACTTGATGTGATTATTCAAATTCTTGTAGTTATTGCATGTGATTAAAATGCTGACGGACTACCTTTTTCTTACCAATTGCTAAATCATTCTTTTCAACTCAGAGAAAGGAAGGCTACTTGTGTTCTTAGTTTATATAACTGTTGCATATCAATCAGTTTTAGTGGTACAATTGATGATTTATATATTGCTTCTTCATCTTCCTAAACTAGCAGGTTTTACTACTAGTTCCATACAAATGCATGAACATTTATCATGTTTCATACTCTTTCTTTGTTTAGATAACAATTAATTCGGCAAATTTGGTCACTCTTCTTAAGTTAGTGCATATATTGTTTCTTTAAACCTTCCATTTAATTACTGTAATGCTCATTGTGGGTTTGATTTTTTACAGAAAATGGAAGGAAATCTTGAAATGGATGCATCTCTGAAGAATGAGAATGAAAAGCTGGACAATGATGAAAATGATTCTGGTGAAAAAATGAATATTCAAGGGTTTGGACAAACATCGCCTACAGAAGTGCAAATTCCTGAGGTTGGTATGGCTTTTCTGTCCTATGAAGAAGTGCGTAAATTTTATAATCGGTATGCACAATCTGTTGGCTTCAATACAGCGAAAGTTAGCACCAAGAATGGAGATGATGGAAAGCAAAAATATTTTTCGCTGGCATGTGCTCGAAGTGGTAGGACAGCCACTCCGACAGCTGGGAAGAACTCCTCACGTGCAAGGAATTCTAGTAAGACTAACTGTAAGGCCAGGATGAATATTGCAGTATATGATGATGGAAGGTATGTTGTGACTCGTGTCTGTCTTGATCACAATCATGAACTTAATCCAGGACAGCCTCGAGAATTTAGATGCAGTGAGATGGTCACCTCTCAACTCAAGAGAAAGTTAGAAGTAAATGATTCAGTTGTTGAGATGGAATGCAGCAATAATATCGCAAATGCAAGACTGTTGACTCTTGGGAATGAAGATGCGGAAGCGTTAATGACATATTTTTATAAAATGCAGGCTCGAAATTCAAACTTCTTCTATACGATTGATAGGGATGAGGAATCTCATATAAGAAATGTTTTCTGGGCTGATGCAAGGTGCAGGGCAGCATATGAGTCTTTTGGTGATGTGATTTTTTTTGACACCACATATCTAACAAATGGTTATGATGTGCCACTAGTTATGTTTGTCGGCATGAACCACCATGGCGAGTCTGTGTTGTTTGGTTGTGGTTTAATATTGGGCAAGGATAAAGATACTTTTGTCTGGTTGTTTAGATCATGGTTAACATGTATGTTGGGCCATTCTCCGAAAGCTGTAATCACAGACCAGTGTAGAGCTGTCCAGGTTGCGGTTAGAGAAGTTTTTCCAGATTCTCGGCACTGTCTAAGTCTTTGGCATATAATGAAAAAGCTTCTGACAAAATTAAAAGAGCTTGCTCAGTATAAAGCAATCAAGAAGATTTTGAAGAATATCATTTATGACTCCATTAAACCTAGTGATTTTGAGGAAAATTGGAGAAACTTGATTGATGAACACAATTTACATGATAACGAGTGGTTGAAGTCTTTATATGATGACCGTCATCATTGGGCCCCAGTGTATGTGAAGAAGACTTTTTTGGCTGGGATATCTACAACTCAAAGACGAGAAGATACAGATGCCTTTTTTGATAGCCATGTTCAATCAAAGACCACAGTGAAGCAATTTATTGAGCTTTATGACAGTGCGATGAAAAGTAAGATCATGAAAGAGAACAATGCAGATTTCGCCTCTCTTAACTCTTGCAATCCAACAATAACAAATTATCTCATCGAAAAGCAGTTTCAGAAAATTTATACTAATGAAATTTTCAAGCTCTTTCAGGATGAATTAAGAGGATTGATCTTTTGCAATGCCTCTTTTGTAATGACAGAAGAGCTTATTTCAGTATTTGAGGTGACAGAAACTATATTGGGTAAAGATGGAATGTTCTCTAAAGAGATGAAGTTTGAGGTACTCTTTAATGAAGCTGATTGTAAAGTGCAGTGCTTATGCCATCTCTTTGAGTTCAAGGGGATTCTTTGCAGGCATGCACTATCTGTGTTTATCAAGAAAAAGGTGAATGAGGTTCCCCCTTGTTATGTTTTAGAAAGATGGCAGAAAGATATAAAGCATGGGTACGAATTTCTGAATTGGGTGTACGACAATGTTGATAGCGATGATCAAGATAAGCGGCGCATGAAGTTGACTCCATTGTTGCTTGATCTTCAACAGCTTGGTGTGGACTCAGACAATAAGTGTGATTTTCTTATCCAATTGCTCGCAGAGGCAAAGAGCAAGCTCCTTTCGGTTGATTATACCGACGGTTGTAAACAGAGCATCGAAAATGAGTAATGCGACTTCGTTATTTGATTACCCTGTACAAAAGTGTTTAGGACCAGTATTTTCACTGGGGTGTGACTACCTCACGCGTTGATTCCGTGGGGTTTTCAAACTTTATGAAAAGTTGAAATGACAAACAAAATATCTTTTGCTGGTGGTTATGTAGCTTGAAGCTACTTGGGCAAATTGAAATATTGAAAATGATATTGATTTATAGTCTGGAATAATTCTATGTAGCACAAATGATGCCAGCCTTAAGTGTCAGTAATTGATAAGGACATTTTAAATGTAGAAAAATGTGTCCAATTTAATCTATCTTATCAGTTGATATCACCACTTTATTGCCATCTAGACTAATGTTTAGCACCAGGGTTCTCATTAGGGTATGACAATCTTTCGCATTCATTTGCTGGGTTTTCAAAATTTATGTAAATTTGAAATGACAAAATGGTATCTTTTGCTTGTGAAAAATGATTTTTTGATTTATTTTCCGAAACCATGCTATATAGGATATTTTAGAAGTGTCATTAATTGATATTTTAAATATAGAAACATAGATCCCATTTAATGTTTAAACTGTCTTATCAATTGATGCCACCTATACGGGTGATTAGCACCAGTTGTGCTACTTAACATTACTTTTATCTTCTATTGCTGGAAGATGCCTAGTTTTCAGGTTGTGGCTAATATTTTGTTCTATAGATGACTCAACTACTTCAAACTAATATTATTTGTTTCTCTCTCGTGTAATCACAGGAAAGAGATGGACATTTAAGCATGAACTGGCTCTGGAAAATCAAAATTTTAATTATCTTTAGTTGCTGCTTGCATTAGGCTCTGCCGTGGTTCTTTAAATCTGTATTTCTGGTGTCTCCGGAGACCTACGCGTCAGTCATTGCAAACCAGCTGGTACGCTGCTGCTGTTGTGGTGTTTTAGTCATCTTTCTAAGACTTCTCTCTCAAAAAGTATGCCTGCTTGTTTCCTTAAAATTGCACATTGAGTCATTTTTATTTATGAATATTTGTTTATTTTTGGTACATTTAACAAATAGTTAAATTCTTACCTTTCTGGGTAGGCAAGATTGGTCATTGCAGCTGAAAGCTGCACACCCTGAGTTGTACAAAAACTATCACAGAAATTGTGAGGTCGTCACCGAAGAATATTTACTTTTGCCTTCATGAGGTATATGAGGCGCCACTTAGTCCGAGCTTTTTAGTCATAAATGGAGTTTGATGCATGTGAAGGTCACTTGTTTTTCCTTTCATTATTCTTTTGGAAAGGTAGCGTGCCCATACTTTGATATAATTAGCTGGGAAGATGTTTTTTAAGTTTGACCCTTATCAAATCGGGCAGTTATTGACATGGAGCAATGCTGGAGTCGAGTTTTACTTGTAAGTTGCAAGAAGCATTCTTCAAGGCCCATCGAAGCTATTTGTGTTTATTCTGCATCTATAATTACTGTTTCTGAGAATATTCTGCAATGGTCTTGATGATGTGTCAACTTGGGTTGAAGAATAACTTTTCTTCCAGCGAACCTTTCCGCAGGAGAAACCCCTACACCCAAAACATGCAGTTTACTAAGGAAAATGGTGCTGCAAATCAGAATATTACGGTAATAGAATAACTAGCATTCTAACCCCTTCTTAGGGCTGTGGGCTTGGAGATGTGCTCCAATGGACAGATGGGCTCCCCTCCCCGTGTGTCGAGAGACAACGCGATTCTAAGAGATGACTGTTTGTGTAGATCCTCTCTTTGGGAGCATGTAACAGTGGTCTGATGGTAAAGGTGCTGGTGTCAGGTGTTCTGGTGTTCTTACCAATGAGGCCTAGATGCTTGGGTTTTCATGCAGTGTTCTTGGCCTCAGAAATTGATGCTCGGGCTACACTTTAACCTTGGCTGGTGCTCTCGACCATGAACATAGGTGCCTGGGCAACACTGGCCTCAGGTTTGGCTTGGGTTCTGGCCTTAATATTTGGTTTTCTTTGGGTTTTGAATTCCATCAGGCTAATCTCTTTACAATAAGGGTCTAGTCTTTATACAATGATTCAGCTTCTACCGTTTGTATTACCCTTATTCTGGCAGTGATATCCAATTGTGGATTTTATTGCCTCTCAATAAATTGATAATTTCTTTTGCATCATTTATTTATATAAACTGCGTGAAATCAAAGATGTTGCATTTTTTCCAAGTCGTAATTGATTTATTCAACTTCTTCACGCTTGATAGTAATTATTTGTGACTTGTTGAGTTTCAACCCCCTTCTTGGATATAGTCCCTTAGTAATTTGTTTGAACTACAAAGACTCAATCCTTGGAAACAAAGAATGCTCAATGAAGTTGCGCTTATCATAAATCCAATCTATCCTTCATGTTCGTACCATTGATGCACGAACGCTAAGTGCTGGCCTTGTAAGGCTCGTGTCCTTCATCATGCAACAAACATTTTGGATTCAACATCACACGAGATAAAAACATACAATTGTGCTACATATATATCACAACTTGCATATTAGTTTATCAAGAAATGATGTGATGAGATTTAATTGGGTCAAAATCCGCCCCAAAAAAAAAAAAAAAAAAAAAAAAAAATTCTTCCCCACTTTACATCTCATTAATTTGTTAAAAGATTATGTAAATGATGACGTACAATATGCATTTTCCATAAACATAATGCCACGCCCAAGACTCGCCCGTTATTTACATAAAGTGGTTTGCATCTGCATGTGTCACAAATCTTTAGAAAACGCTTTGTAAATGTGTACAAAAATAGGTCACCATTAGCTCGAAAACTAAACCAACCGAATGAAGAACTAGTAATCATCAGATGGAAACAAGCCTGCTAATTCCTGGAACTTCTGTTTGCAATGAAGACATCACCTCGTCATACTTGGAAGCATACACAAAGCCCCATAGCTGCGTAGAATACAAGATAATAACCAAACCTTAATCATCGTAGTGAAGGAAAATTCTAGCACAAAATCTCCCATAAATACCTCACTTGTATACAAGTGATGATGCCACGACGATGCGAGATAGGGGTGTGCATGTGGGATGCGTGGGGGTGGAGATTGAATGTTGAATTATCTCACTTAAGCCGACATGAAGTGGACATATTCAACCGACCTCGTGTGTGACTCGGGGGTGTGCGTAGGGGGTGAGTTTCATCTAGATTTGAACCTTTGTCTTTTGGGTAGCTCTAGTGCCATATTCAACCATCTAAAAACTTAAAACTTTTGAACAGGGATGTGTTATATTTAAATTAAGTCTTCAATAATAGGAATACCTCAGTTTCCTTCACTACAAAATCTTCAGCGTTCGCCAAACAGGGATTTCCATATGTCTCCGAGGACGAACTTGATCCACTCAATCTTGAGAAGGGTGGGAAAAGAAATAAGGACGCGGTATTTCCATTAATTATTGGATAAATAGGCACGTATGTTAGAATAAATACTATAGAAACTAAACAATAAAGGAAGTTGAAAACTTACAGATCTCCATCCAAATAGAGAGCAAAGTGACCACCCCCACCTAAGGCTAAATAATCCGTAGAGCACAAAGTAAAATAGCGGTTCATACCTGTTAATGTGTAGGTTTCAATATGAAATATGAAGAATATATTCAAATCTATTAACCTGAACTGCTAGGCATTCCAAAAGGTCGAATTTTTTCCAAGAAAACAAAAGAATAGATTAGATATATTTAGACTAAATACAGAATCCTTCAAAACCGAAAGTTCTAACACGGTGCACTAGTGCATCACCGCCTTTTATTTTAATATAGTTGATAGGCCAACTATATATCATGTCATAATAAACCACTGGAACAACTTCCACTTATCTGAGGACAGGCATTGTACAATTCCAGTTTTATTAAATCGAAAAACTTCAAAGTCATTTTAAAAGTTAATTTTTATAAAGAATTGCATATAAAAAACGCAGCAGAATGCACTTGTAGGCTATAGCCTTTAAAGCAAGTATACATTTTAACTTGAAAAAACGAAGTTGGATTCATTAAAATACTGAAGGATAGAGATAGTCAAAAATGTAAAATACAAATACAATACTGTAAAGGCAAATGATCAGAGAAAGAAGAATTAATACCTGTGGGACGAAATATACGAGGATGGCCAGATATATTTGTGAAAACAAATGTATCATTCGTTCCCTGTTTTTCGTTCAGTGTTAATCTAAATGGATGAATAACATAGTATGTACTAACATATTAAAAAAAAAAAAAAAAAGCATCATTACCTGATACTTCTTATTTGATGGTCTCAAGGGCGCCTCAACCAAGCCACCAAAAACCGTGCCATTACGGTCCCCAACAACCTAAAAGATAAATAAACTAATGAGGGATATAGAGAGAGGGGCCTTTGGTAAGTCTCATTTCAGTATATATAAATGCACACGTGAGAGCAGACAAAAAGCCTGAACTACACAATTAAAATGGACAAACAAAATATTGATTCTTGATTGATGACATGATTTCTCGACTGTCAACCTAGTTTGGCAGCACACATTTCACATCATTAAGAATACTCTTCAACCGTGTCCTGGAATCACCATTCTTATTCCAGATAATAGAAAGAAAAGAAATGAGACGTAGGATCTACAATACTCAGAAGAATTTCAAATCTTAAACATGAAATACAGGTTACATATATGACATCATGATGGATGTTAAGATAGTACTTATCAGTCTAGAATAGCTGCAAAAATAAGTAATTAAGTAAGCTCACTGTAATGTATGATATCCTTCGCACTACACTATGAGGAAATTATGTTACTCTTTCAATCGTCACAAGCATGAGGATCACAGCAATCAAAATGAGAACCCTTTATCACAGAGACAAAAGTTGATATCATACCTGGAGGAGAAGCCATCTACAATTGGTAAAACGTCAAGAAGTATAATCTTTTGGTTGAAATATTTATATTTGGCATCAGGACAAAAAGAATTACATTTTTATAGCATTCCCGTTTGTGGCATCATGAGTTTGGGCATAACAAGAATATACAAAGTTCTGACGATTATACCATCATCCACCGAGAGTTTCTGGACTATTCAGAAATAAGCGTTTTAAGAAATAAAGAGGTTATGAAAAAGATTATTAAAATAAAAATAAGAGTAATTAGCATAAAATTGTAATAAATAAATATAATATTTCAGCACTAGTCTAAAAGTCAATATAAAACTTGGTTCATACATTGAAAGGAAATGATGAAAAATAGATTACTTATGATGAAAGGAAAAAAAGAGCTTGATTCTCAGGAGACTTAGAGCTGGTCATGCATGCTTCAAATTGAAAACGAAACAGGTTTCACAAGCATAATAGCCAAAGAAGTTGTAGTTTAAGGTTGTCCCGATAGTGAAAAAGTATATGCAAGGTCACAAGTTAGAAATGTTACCAGCAGACTAAGGCCGGGCCAGATCATGCTTCTCCTGTATAACGTTGAAAGTGATATACCATGCCTCCAAGTACTGAGAGATCAAAGCAAGGAATTAAAGTCTATGATTTGAAGATAGCATGTGTAGGAAACTCAAAACAAAATAGCACATGCAAACGATCCACACAAGAAAGGAAATTGACATGTGTCTTCACCTGTATAACAATACCCACTTCAGTCCCTGTATGGTCACTGGGAGTGCAGCATGAAGAACACTGCGAGTTTTCTCCGAGAGAAGCAACGAAGGCTGTGAAGTCTCTGGAAGATTTTCCAAAGCCAATGTATCTTTCGAAGTATTCATTTGAGTATCCTCATCTTGGGAAGCCTTAAAATTACTTCCATCATCAGTTACCATAACAGAACTGCCTTTAGGGCCTTGGTTTCGAAAGCCACTTAATTTAGCTGCTTGATAGAAAGCTTTGCCAAGTGATTGTTTACCCCTCGAAAACAAACTCTTCTTCCTGCCATTTTCTTTCGTTGTTGGTTCAGATGATGGCTTAAACTGATCCTCGAGAGACATGTTTTCTCCATCACACTTAGAATTAGTCTGAGATTCTGAGGATGCTACTAAAGAATATAAAAAGGCAGTGAAAGAAGATGTATCAGGACCATCAACAGAGTCCCCAGAGCTGTCCTTCAAGTCTGATTCTAGCTGACTACCTTCATTCTTCTCTTCCTGTCAAAACCAAAAGCAAATGCTCATTGGCATTAGAATTAATGGATTTTATAAGATGCACAAAAGAAAAAAGACATAATGGACCTAAGATTTTTAAGTTCAAAGATGAAGCTTCTTTGTTCGCCCAATATAACAAGTGAAGTCAATTGGTTATGGGACTGCACCACTTCAAATTAAAATTTTATCTTCAAATTTCATCCTACTATTTTTTTTCCTGCTCTTTTCCCCTTCTTTTTTTTTTTCCTTTTCTCATGTCTCTACTTTTTGTTCTTTTTTCCTTTGATCCATACTTGTCCACACCTAAAGCACCTCTAATCAAGGCATGGATTTCTATATTAAGCTCAAAATTAGGCAAATGGCATGAGTAATTATCTAATTCTAATTCAACAGTTAACCAGCCTGAGATAGGCACCAATGAACTTGATTCCTAATAAATATAAGACCATATTATCGCACCATTCCTAAGCATGCTTGCAGGAAAAATAATAATAATAATAATTTTATGCATAATCAGCGACGGCAGTAGTCATCCTACATGAAAGATGCAACGTATCACAACTATGCAGTTTTTGACTATGAATAGCACTGCTCAGAAAAAAATCCCTACAATCATAAATAATCAAATTGGCAAAAAAAAAATAAAATAAATTTCCCTTAACAAATTTAACCATTTAAAACGAAGGCACCATAAAACTCTAAGCCTAAAACTAAAGAACTGATACTCAGAACACCAACATAAGCATAACCATAAACTCGAAATCCTTTAATTCTAGTCAACAGCACATAATTCAAGGTGGGTCTTCAAGAATTAGCCTAAGAATGATAAACCGATCATCAATATATTAGCACAATAAGGAACCTGAAATAAAAGATCATTACTTCTACAAACAAAAAGTCCTATATAATAAAGAAACAGATAAAGGTATCAGAAATTACAAGTGGAGGAGGTGACTTAGAGGGTTTTTCAGAAATGGGATTGAGATAAACAGTAGTTAGATCAGATAAAAAGTGGGCTGCTTTACTCCTCAGTGAATTCTTGCGCTGTTTTTCTTCTTGTTTTTCTTGATGCTCCCTGCCCATTTTTACTACAAATATACCTATATATTTCTTGATTATTTATGCTATGATGATACGATTTCCACTATCTTTGAATTTGGAACATATTCTGCAATAAACATATAATCAAAGCTCAAGCCCCAGAATATATCCTATTATTTTTCTTTTACATTTTTTTTCCCGATATATCCTTGCTAACATCTAACGCGTGGGATTAGATTAGGATGAAGGGTGCGTTCTAAGTGACCCTATAATTTTTTTCTTTATTATTTACGTTAGATTATCCTTCACCATCTTATTATTATTATTATTATTATTATTATTATTATTATTATATATTTTTATTTTGTGACAAGAAAGAAAGAGTCAACAGTACTTTTCCCTTTTTTTCTTCTTTTCTTTTCGTTATGGTCTTTTGACTCTTCTCATTTTTCTTTTCTTGAGAAAATTGGCGCTTTATCCCTAATCAATGGTTTCTGTTGCGAATTTGTCTTCTAACTTTTACCGAGTATTATTTTTTCTCAATCGACATCGCACTAGTAATTTTAATAGACAGTTTTGGTCTATTAATTCAATAAAAAGTTAAATTCAATTCAAAATAAATAAGAAAAAAAGAGAAAAAATAATTTCTCTCTGCACTCTATTACTCCAGTCCTGTCCCTCACATACTGCTTTTACGGGGAGAGTTACAACAGCAATATGTGTGGGGGTCACTTAATATTTTTAATTTATATTTTACTTTCATTAAAAACTAAGGCATTTCTTTTGTATAAGATTGAGTACGGACAATGAAAGAGTAATTTTTTTTTAAATATTAAATACTGTTGAATTTACATTTTATTGACATTAAAAGCACATCACATTATGACATGGTAACTTTTAGAGTTTAATGGATTTTCGACTTGCTTGAAGATGGGAAGAGAGATTATAAGCATGTTTAGGATGGCTTACAAGCTTCAAATGTGTGGTTTATATTGACTTATTTTAAATATACGTGAATTCACTTTAAAAACAAGTCAAATATTTATTGCTTTTTCTTTAAATTAAGTGCTCTATATATGCTTAAAATCGTCATTTATTATTAAAGTATAACTCTTTTGTATATGTTGTCAGGAAAGAGGACTCAATGGTCATGTTCAATCTCCTGTATTTATGATTAGTTCATTGCATGAAGTAGTGATGGATAGCTACAGCTTCGTCATGTTCTTTAACAATATCTAAGGTCGATGCATACTTTAACATTGAATTTCAAGGTTATAGCATTCAATAGAAACCATTCGCAACTAATCATCTCGACAGAATAGTAGAAATATCAAAATGTGCACGATTTGATCTATAGTTGAGTAATTAGTAAGAACTAATTATTGAAAATTGACAAGTGACAAACCTACAAAATATGAATGTCAATCAAAGTGGTCAAATTGTAGTCGAAGCTTATTGAAACTCCATTTTATCTATGGTTGAGTTTGAAATTCAGTCCACTGTCGAGATATTTAATTCACAAACCTTTTGATGGAGCTTTTGAATAGTTAAAAATTGTTTCTGAGACCAAAAAGTTGGTTTAAGCCTATTTGAATAATTTTTTGAGAGTGGTTCGTATGCTTAGAAGAGCATTTAGACAAATTTGGTCTAATATAACTTACTCGATACGCTTGTCTACAAGAAGCAGAAATAGAAGTTATCCTAAACAGGCCATAAGAGATGAATATTATAGGCACATAGGTTTTATTAGGAATGTTAATGAGCTAAGTCGAGCCGGCTTGCGAGCCCAAATTTTAGGCTTGAGCTCGCCTCGAGTAAAATGACCGAGCCTTTTTCTGGGCCCAAGCCTACTCGGCCAAAAAAAAAAAAAAGGCTCAACTCGAGCTTTCGATTCAATGTTTTGTTGATTTTTTTTGGCAGTTGTCTAAAATAGGCAGCAGGACACTGCCAAATAGGCAGCAGGACACTGCCTTAAAAGCCAGCGTGCTGCTGCCTTTAAAAGATAGGCTTGTAAGCCCGAGCTGACGAGCCACAAGGGCCGGCTCGGGCTTTGCTCGGCACCCAAAAATGAGGTTTGACCTGAGCCTTGGCTTGGTTCTTTCGAGCCTCGAGCCGGATTGGCTCAAACTTTTTACGAGCAGAGCCACGAGCTGCCCGAGCCGACGAGTCCAATTGTCATCCCTAGATTATATACATATTTTTTTCTCTAGTCCCATGTTCTTCATCACATAGCTTCACATCTGGTTAAGGATGTCAAATAGGCCGAGCCGACTCGGGCTCGTCATTTCCGAGCAGAGCAGGTGGCTCAATCCCATGAGTTGAACCTGCTCGGCTCGTTGAGCCCACGAGCGGCTCGTAGGCACTAACGAGCCCACGAGCCGATGTAAATTTACCAAAAAAAGTCAAAAAAATGTGAAAATTTACCAAAAATAAAAAAATCACGAGCTCGCAAATGGTTTGTGAGCCGGGCGAGCTCGTGGGCTGAGCCGAGCTTGACCCCGAGCAACGAGCCGAGCTCGTAGGTTAACTCGGCCCATTGCCATCACTACATCTGGTATGGATTTTGTCGGTCTTATCATCCCTTTCAAAGCCGTTTAAATTTACTGCAAGAGTTCAAAGTAATATCTTACTCTGTGAACCTCTGGTCGAAACAGCAAAGAAAATTCATGGCCAGTAGTTTGCAGATCTAACAATCCAAATCTCACTGAAAAATTAACCAAATATTGCACATTGCAAAGGAAGCTCGACTCACCAGTAGACATATTAATGCATAAAAAGTAAAAGGACAAGTAACTTGGGCTATGATGTCTGACTGGAACATCGATAGTCTACAAGCACACAACAAGAAAATAAACTGCAAATTCAAGATATGTGTTTAATATATATAGGAAAGCTGTCAAAAAGGAGTAAGCACAGTCACTCAAGCATCCTCATGACCTATCAAGGCAAGAAGCAAATTCTCGTAGTCTCCAGAAGTGTCTCCAGCAATAGCGCGCTCCAGAGGTACACTGTTCCTTTTATGATATTCTTCTTTGATACACTGCATATTAACCTCAGCTTGCGTAACAACAACACGAGTGAGAGCCCATTCATCTTTGCCCAGCTTGTTGATGGCTAAACGAAGAGTTTTCTCAAAATATTTCTCAGGACGGGTCAGGCACTTTATTGTTGCTCTTAGTAAGCTGAGATAGTCATCCTTGGGATCAGATTTCAGATCCTGTAAAACATCACGATGGTATTGATCGAGTGCTGACATATTTAGAGGCAGTGAAATTAAACTTCTTAAGTAACACATGGTAAACCATGATTTTCGTGACCAAGAGTGCTTTTCTAACCTTTGAATTTTACTTATTAGCAAATCAGTATGTTTGAAAACAATATTGTTTTATACTCATCAAAGAAATAAAGAAAGTTAATTATATTGACAATATGGTAAGAGTCATTATCAAAATAAGCAACTTTTTTACTTATATAAGTAGAAAAAAAAAGAAACTCATTTAAACATGTTTTGGAAGCCAAAATTTACGCAAAAGTAACTTTGCCGAACTTTTAAGCTTAGCTATACATACTCTTAATTCTTAAACAATAATTTTCAAAGTGGAATTATCATAGTACAGCATGAGATGTACCTTATTGATAGCATTTCCAAATTGACTGTTGTATTGGTTAAGCGTCGCATTGATCTGTGCTTTGCTCCTTGTTGTGAGAATTCTAATTACTTCCTCATGATTGTAGGCCTTGTCACAGATCTTCTCATGTAGTATCTTAGCCTCGGATTTTGCCAACATCATGTTCACCTCATCTCCTTCATACCTGAATGCACTTACGAGAGGAACCAAAAGCTGCTGGGGAATTAGCAGATAGTAAAAGAGCAGGGGCATTATTTGTTTGCAACAATTACTCTACCTATGTTCTCTGAGAGATACCTTGTCCCAGACTTCGATAAGAAAATGTTGTAGCAGGTTGACATACCATATAAAATATTGTCACAGCAATAGATAGATTGAAATGTTATGAAAAGGAAATGAGATTTGCACATGGTTTAGGTAAAGCAAATTATAGGGTGACAACGGTGTGATATGGAAGGTGCTAGAGAAAAAAATATTTACTTTTTATTAATTATATAGTTGTTATTGAAGATATTATGCACTGAATTCTAGTCATTTTGTTTAAATCATGGATAAACTTCAGACATTAAAATGAGATCCCTTCCCTTGTACCATTCATTGGTATGTCATTGTTCATGACCCAACCTTAGATGATAAAGTTAAGAGAGATAAATTGTAAGTTGACATTTTAGATAACTTTGGATGATAAAATTTCTACTTAAATACAAGTAAGACAATGCAAAGAATGTCATTTTAGTCATTATAACGATAAGTATAACAGTATAATCCAAACATAGGATCATACTGTCCCCAAGAGTAATTATTTTGGTATTTAGATTTGACAGGTGACTTGAAGAGGATGCCATGCATAAGATTAGAGTCTAGAGAGGATTTGGAAAACGAGGAGAAGTGTTACCGTGACTCTATTCAACTGGAAGTATCTACCAAGTTAAAAAGAAAATTTTATGGGATGGTTATTAGACCGACTATGCCAAATGATTTGAGTGCCAGGCCATCAGACAATAAGCATTCCCAAGACTAATTAGCACAAATACAAATTCTATGATGGATTTGTCACTATACTAGAATGATGAAATAAGATTAGGTTGGAACCAATGGAGAATAAATTCACGGAAGGAAACTGGTTGTTGGCATGTCTTGTGCACAACTAAAAAAAGCTGTAATTAACAAGAGTTATGTGATTCCAAAAGAACAAAGAGTTAATTCACAAAACAAAGATTGTCCATGGTACACAGACATTAATATTTAATATAAAACAAACGAGAAACTTGTGATTTACCTTACGGTAATCACCAGTTGTGTGATATGCGACATCTTCTTCAAGAGATCTTTTATAACGAGCATGATATTCCTTCCTCACCAAAAAGAGATCATTGGAGGACCTGGTGCATGCAATTTCCATGATGACCCAATTGCTAGAAGTCAATCGTTTATTAGCCTCATTAACCAAGTATGCATCTCTCTCGGTCGGATCCAACGTCCACAGCAGTAATGCACGCTGTTACATTAAGTGAATAGGTGGAAATTTAGGTAAGTGTTAGCCCTCTCAGACAAGGTGTACATAAACGACTCATTGAACTTTCTGCAGAATAATTATCTTTCTAAAATTATTGCAATGACTCACTTAGTCATCCAACTAAAAAGAATAAGAATCATCTTAAGTGACCTGAAAGTCACTCCAAAGTTCACTGTCCAAGTCTTTTAGAAGATCTTCTCCATAAGTTGCAGCATATGTTTCCCGAATCAACTTGAGTTGTGCTGCATTCCTGTGAGCCAGGATCTGGATAATCAGTGCCTCATTGTTCTCCATCCTGCAAATATTGTTAGGCGCAGATCATCATATTTGATTTGGATACTTCAGTTGATCTAGCAATGAACCCATTGAAGTGGTGAGAAAGAATTAATGTAACTGATCCAAATTTCCACGGAATTAATGTAACCGATCCAAATTTCCACGTTTTTTCTCGTCATTATAATACAATTCAACATATTGACACACACTGAGTACCTAAATACCCCACCAAAGAAAAAAACTCACTGTACATCTTCTCCCTCCTACGTGTAACCCCAACCAGCACCCAAGCATCACTATTTGGTCAAATTTTTACATGACAATCACAACGCTGTTTCAGAAAATGATAACTAAAAATGAGGAACTAAAGATACGCATTCAATTTAGATCAATTTCCAAGATCAGATGGTCAAAAACTCTCCACCATCTCAAGATCCTAATACCCGATCAAACCCAGTTATGGATACATTTCCATTAGAGAATCATTTCTAGTGTGTTACCGTATAATCAAACAGATATAAACCCATCACACATATCTGATTGCATAAGAGCAAATAAAAAAGACAATAAACAGAAAACACAAGCTGTACAATTTGTTACCTGCAAAAGCTTTTCTTAGTTGCTCAGAATCCTCTTCTGCAGGAGGAACACTTGAAGGGACTTTAAGAGTTGCCATTATTCACTCTGTAGCTATTTGTGAATGTGTGTGTTTTGATCTTTCTGAGTGCGTGTATTTATGTTTGTTGGGTTGCGGGGTTATGAGTGAAGATGATGGGATGGGAACGTAAATCTCGCCTCATCCACGTGTCTGCTGTGATTGAATTTCTTTACTGGCGCAGTGCACACTTTGTACGAGTAACTTTATTATTTTTGTTATTGGTAATGTCAGGTCTCGCTTTGTTTGTTTTTGGCTAAAATTGTAACCTTTTATCAAAGTAAAATATTAATTTTAATTATAATTAGAAAATTCTTAAATTCATTACTCATCTTCATTATAATCTCCTTATAATGCTTTCAAACGTACACTTAATTGAGACATTAAGCTAAAAAAAGAATATTTTAATCCTTAACTTGAACTCGATCATTCTCTATTCCACATCTTGAAAATTCCCGACGGGGTGAAGAATGAAAAAGGGTTGTCTCAATCATTGCCAACCTTGAAGTTTTTATTAGAAATATTTTGTGCAATAATTCAACATTATATTCGATATTGTTCAAATCAACAATGGGGAGTGATTTTTTGAAAATGATGGAAGTGGTTCACCATGAGAGAAACAAGCAAAAACAAAACGAGAACAAAAAATGTTGAAGGTCGAAAAATTGTCTGGATGGCCACCCGGCCTCATTTTGCAATTACAGTGGCCATTTTGTTGAACTATACAAGCACTACCCAGTACAAAAATCTGACCATTGACTATTTGAATTCTACTATCGTTTTGAAGTGTTTCATAAATATATATATATATATATATATATATAGATGAAGCAGCTTGCGACCCACATCCTCACTTGAAACAGTCTGAAGCTGAGAGGAAAAATATACATATTATTCAAACCATATGTCTTGAAACTCAAAGAAATGGTGAAAAAGGTAAAGACTTTATATCCTGAATAGGTAGCAGATTTTTTAAAAGGGGAAAACTTCATATAATTAACATCAATAATGATAATTCCAGAAAAAAGAATAAATATCAATCAACGAAAGTAAACTTTACATTTTATGCAAATTCAAAATTTTAAGAAGAAAACAATTGTCTTCAGAATATGTTCACTCAAATATTAAAAATGTTCTTTATGGCAAGATATTTATTTTGCTTCTTCTAGTAAATGGATATTGAAATTTAGGCCATCCATTTATATAAAAATACATAGATAAATACATGCAAACTACAAACTACATATATAAAGTACACGTGCACACAAAACTACAAACAACAATTGTAAAATTATTTTTGCAGCTAGAATAATGGTAAGAGAATTACATGTCCATTAAACTAGATTGAACATATTCTAGCTCAACATAAGTGATTCGGTTCGGAGCTGCACGTTCTATTTCTGTTTCGATTCTCTTTCTGAAAAATGCAATCACATTGTTACAAATCTAGAATGACCTCTACATACCAAGAAAGCTAGCCAACTAAGAAGGCTTAAACCACAACAAAAATGAGTTTTCCCTAAACCACAGATCAACAAACTGTAATGACAAACTATGAGCCAAAAATTGAACAAAAAGCGCCAACAAATTACTCAAGGAGCCAAACTTTGACAGAAACGTAAAGTGAGAAATATAAGAAGCAAAAAATTGATACATACCCATTCAAATTTTTTACCAGGACACCAAGATTCTTTTCATTCTCTTTTCTCTGAGTTCTCTCTGCCTGTGATTCCGACACAATGGATTAGAAATGTTTAACGTCGAAAATAAAGCAGGAAGTGTGAATAGAAAACGTCCAGAGATAAAGCTCGAGGAGGGCAAGAGAAAAGAATGAGAACATTCTTTCACAGATACAGTTTCACACTGTCGAAGATAAAGCTCATACTGCCGGACATAAAGCTCGTACTACTGCCGGAGATAGAGCTCGTACTACTACAATCTCGAACTGCCGGGGGAAATGGTGGTCATAGATACTACCCCGTTCTCGGTCTATTTTCTGAGTTCTTTCTCCCCTGTTTTGATTGAGATTGACGGCCCGGAGCAGAAGATTGTTTCAGTTTGGCGCCTAATGTTTCACAGTTATTTTGATGATTCAATCCCAGTCGTCCGTAGCGTTTTAATCCTGGTCATCCACGTCACTTTGTTAACTTACTTTGTAACCCAAGTGTGCAGGAGTAGCATTATTATTTATTTATTCACCTCTCATTGTTATTTATTTATAAGTTAAACTAAGCCTATGCATTGGGTGAGTCGGTCCGGGTATTTTAATTCCCAGAACCACCAATTATACTTCGGCTATTTCGCAAATGAAACCGAATTTTTATAAATACTAGAACCAGACCCAAACCTGAACCGTCAGTTTCGATTCTACCCATAGCATTTTTATATATATTTATTTAATAAATATTTTACATAGACCCTTTTGATACATATACCAATATGTTGCTACTCAAAAAATATTTGTGCAATGAAGAAAATTCAGTTAAGAAATTTTCAATGAGCAAAATATTGGATACTAAAAATCACAAAAAATAGGAGAAAATAAAATAAAGATAAAAAATGAAATTATAATTTGAAAAAAAATTATTTTTTTTAACAAATCTTATTCGATCTATAAGAGAAGCATCCTAGGCATATAATTTAATTATGAATAATGCTTAAATTCTTCTACTTTTAAAACGAACTGATATAAAAAAAATACTAATTAAATACATAACTAATATAATATCAAAAAAATTACAGTCCACATATTGAAGTCACTCTATTTGAATAAAAAATAAAAAAATATATATTTAAAAAGAGAGCCACGATCTTTAGATTAAAAAAGGTATAACACAACATAAGCAATGAATATATCAAATTCAATTGTCACTCTTTATGAAAAAAGTAAAAAAAATCACTGAAGTTTATTAACAATACAAGAAGGTAAAAAACTTGAATTGCAAAGAATAAACGCTTTGATTCATCAACTTATACCACAACTTGTTTGGAATTTTTGATTTGTAAAAAACTCAAATTGTAAACATTAACATATAATAACCTCGTAAATTCAACAGTCTGATGTAAGATGAGATGTAAAAAAGTAAGAGCCAATCTTATTTTTTAGGATGAGAGTTTAAAGTTTTAAACTAATTACTACCAAAATTAGGATTTTTAGGTTTTATATGTTTTTTCCGCCTATAAATTGTAAATAAATTTTTTTTTTAATAAAAATCAGTTTCGCTCGAGTACCTACAATTTTGGTTCAGGAATCAAGAATTGAATCAAATCCAGTTGGTTATCGGTTTCGTTTCCTAGTTTATTTCTTCGAGGACCCGGACACGAACCTTTGATTTCGATTCAGTTTCGATTTGGGAGATTCAATTCCGATTAAAATGTCCAGGCCTAAGTTAAACAGTTTAAATTCTTCCAAAATTGAGGCTGACATTTGGTCTTTGAAGAATGTCTTTTAAAACACACTAGCTTTGACCATTAAAGGATCATTTGAAAAAATTGCAGGTGAATCATGAATTGGAAAATATTTTACTGTTCAATAATATCTTTAAAAGGAAATTCTTAGTACTTCTATAACCCATGAGTCTTATCTATCAAAATAAGAAGAATGTTACATCTATATATTATGTGACATGCGCATGACAAAAGGGTTTCACATTTACCTACTCGATCAGGGATTATCTCAATTGAGTTGAGCCTATGTAATCAACATGTTCTTATATTTCGGCTTGTTCAACGGTCCATATAGGCCCATTTTCCTCCCTTTATATCAGCGATTCCATTTCAAACCAAAGATAATGAATGTTTTCTATCTCTAGTCAAATCTCCTATCCCGTCTTTTGCACTCATTATCTCTCGTCTGACCATAGACTTGATCTACAGGGTTAATGATTGTTAGACTTTTTTCTCAATTAGTAAACTTTGCTTCATAACAGGATGTTTGAGTGCACAAGTGATGCGTACATGGAAGGGAGGTGGTGGGGCTATGTTAACCATGCGTCTGCAAAATTGAGTTCAACAAATATCGTATGAAAAAATGATAACATACTTTTAGGAGTTATGATGCATTGGTAAAGGAGTTTAATCCCACTTTTAGTTCATAGGCCTTGGTAAAGGAGTTTAATCCTACTTTTAATCCACTTGCAAACGGAACATAATCTTCTATTGTAACAATGTCAATAATATTTTAGTGGAGATGAGTAAAACTACTTTAAAAATTAAACAATTTCTATTTTTCAACGCATTCACACACAATATAAAGGAAGATCTCGTGATGGTTGACTTTGTTAGGTCGCTCAAAGTAAAAGAGGGATAAAATTAGAGATGGACAAATGAATTGGAATCAAATCAAAATTCAGTTCGATTCATTCGTTCGTTTGATTTTACCTAAATTTTAAAGGTTTTGATTTCTAGAACCAAGAGCATCCCATCTTGGTCTGGTTTCAGTCCTAGTAATTAGAACGAAGAAACTAGAACCGGTTCCAATCCAATCAATTTTTTTGATGAGTATGTTTATTTGTTAACTACTGTTTGCTACCAATTAAAATTAAAATTTTAAATTAAGTCAAAGTTAACAATTTATTTCAATAATATATATTATGAGTTTCATAAGTTTTCAACCACACATTTTATCAATTTTTATCAAAATTTACTAAAAGTTTTATTTTAATCCCCACCAAACAAGAGTTTAATAAGATGAATGATTTTTATTAGGCAATATATTGTATGAAGATGAAACTTGTCGTTTTCAAGTTTGTTGTTTTGACTTTGGATGTAAGTATTTAGTTTCCATGATAGGATTGTTAAACAATCCAAAGAAAATAAAGAAGAAAAAGGAGGAGGCTAGGGTTTCATTGATACTATGTAATTAATTGAATGCTAAACGATGGTTTAATCTAAATACAAAGAGAATATATATAGGCTAAACAAAGAAAACTAAAAAGGACTATTCTACCCTTAATAAATAATAAATAATCCTATATTTCTTAACAAGAATTTTGTCCAGTAATTATTTTGGTTATAGAATCGAATAGAACCAAATCAAATTGGAATCATTCGGCTCGATTCCATAATTATATATGGAACTAATGCTTTTAT